CTCCCACCTCAAACCCCACCCCCATCTCCTACCTACTAGCCTCATCCCGCCTCCTTGACCTGTCCGTCCTCCCTGGACCGACCTATCCCCTCCGTAACTCCCCACCTACACTCACCTTTACTGGCTCCATCCCCGCCTCCTTGACCTGTCTGTCTCCTCACCACCTATCTTCTCCTTTATCCATCTTCTATCCGCCTCCCCCTTTCTCCCTATTTATTTCAGAATCCCCTTCCCCTCCCCCATTTCTGAAGAAGGGTCTAGCCCCGAAACATCAGCTTTCCTGCTCCTCTGATGCTGCTTGGCCTGCTGTGTTCATCCAGCTCTACACCTTGTTATCTCTTATAATTAAAAGCTCCCTTGCCCTAGAATCTTTCTGGTAAATCTCCTCTGCACTCTCAAAGATCCTTTACACAAACCCTATTGTGTGCTGATCAGAACTGAATGCAACTTTCTAGTTGGGGCTTAATTGAAACTTTATAAGCACACAGTTTATGATACGTAAAATTAAGTTCGTAACTCAGTTAGTTACTAGTGTTCCTTCCATGGCAAAATATGCATTTTCTGTGGTTAATGAAATGCTCAAATGTTCAATGCGGTTAGGTGTAATGCCAAAAAATAGTCCTTAAATCAGTTAACAGAAAGCTTGAATTGTCATTTGACTAAATAAAGTGACTATAAAACAGGATAGTTTCACATTTATGCTTCACGTCTTGGAATGTGAGAACAGCAGAACCAGATGTAGAGTAAGATGTACTTCCTGCATCACAAGTCGCTACTCAATTGCAGTGGGGGAAGACTGTGTTTGAAGAAACCATCAGGAAGATCCCTGACACTGGAAACATATTCTCACCAGAAATTAGACCCATTGAACAAGCGAATTGTTAATTATTTCTGCCGGTCCTGAATTTCTTTTGTTGTTTACTTCATTTAAGGGTTAAATTATTTATGTTAGAAGCTGTTTCATGCATATATCCCATATGTTAATGAGAAACAAAATCACTTGTCCTGAAAACCTTTATAAAATTGCAATGCCTAGGTGATTAACATAGTATATGCATGGCTAGATGACATAAAATATTTGAATCTAGGATTGTATTTATCATGCAACCATGTTTATGGTTAGAAATGAGACATATCAGCACTGGTAATAACGATGAAAATATTCCCACAGTAAGAAAATGCAAATGTTGATTTGCAATTTAGATATGGTTTAATTTCTTTGCTTTCTTAGCCCTTTTCTTGGTCAAGAGAATTAGCACAATACATAGGCATGAAGTCCAGTAGAGATGAGGAATGATGCAAATGTAATGTTCTGTAGCAATAAAAGAACATCCTAATAGTTAAAGCTGCTGCATGTTATTAGAACATTAGGAGTAAATCCTCAGTTTAGAACTGTCAAATAAGAAAAGAGACAGTCTAACATACTTTAAACCTTGTTCAAAAGAACCTTTAAGATTCCATTTGAAATTACTGCATGAATGTGTCTCCTTTTTCCCATCAAATTGTATGACATATTTACTGCAGTTCCTACTTGTAAACATAAATTATTGCTTGTTTTTGATGGCAATTCAGAAGGCTGTCAAGCGTTGTAAGAAAAATGCAGTCTTGTGCTGAAAGATCAGAAATGGCCTGGGGTGTAAAAAAATGTAATTTTGCTATGTAATTCATCACAGACTGCATTCTAAACTGGGTTTAATTTTTTTAAAAAAACTGGAGTACCTATAACAATAAATCAGTTGAAAATAATTACTCTAAAATGCATTGATCAATCCACACAACCTTCATGATACTGTCACTATCATCTCATCTGTGTAAGGAAATGCATAATTTTATCAGTAATACTGGCACTTTGTATATTTCTTGTCGAAATATACATTCAGAAAAATTAATGTATGTATTCTGTGCAAAAAGTACAATGTAGAAAGTACACTGCAATTTTTGTACAGTTAAAAGGACAAGAATTTTGACCTTCATTATCTGTCAAGATGCCTGTAATCTTGAACTTTTAATGTTAATTTTTATCTGTCTTAAACATTTCATGTAAAGCAATTTTTAAGCACTCGTTCATGAAATGGCTTAAGAAAGTAAAACTTATTCTAGAGACTAGTTTTGCACGTTATCTCAGGTTATTTTGCAGGTTTTCTGGGATTCTAATCAATTCTAAAATATTAGGCTGCCTTCAAAAGGTAAGGTCAATTTGACTAGTAATTATGCAACAGTCTTCTTGTCGACTTATGTCCTATTTATAAGATAATAATAAAGGAAACAGAAACAGAATTCCAAAGGATCATTGGGGCTTCATGTGGTTATCCTCAGAACCGAACGCACTGCCTGTACTGGACAGGAAGTTTCAACAAGACATCTCAACATTAAAATTACCAGGTCTTTCATTATCTGGAAAATAAAATGCTATGTGTAATCCTTTCAAGCAGATCACTTCAGCAGAAAGCATTTATTGGAAACATTTCTCATCCCGTTTTCTCCCATTCTAAACTGCCCTGCACATTGCTCTCAAACAGGCATCATCCTCTGGGAAGCCACAGTCCCCACTTACACCAATGCTGATGTTTTAATGAAGATCTGTAGCTCAGGCTGTGGTTAGAGTTGTTGGTTGGTTCGCCGAGCTGACTGGTTTTCATGCAAACGTTTCTTCTTCCTTCTAGGTGACATCTTCAGTGCTGTCTAGCCTCTGTTGAAGTGTTGTCGTTTTGTCCCGCTCTGAATTTATAAGGTCCAGACTGTCATGGTGGGTAGTCCTGCTTCTGGTTTTGTACTATAGTGGCACGTAGATGGGGTCTACTTCAACATGTTTGTTTATCGCATCAGTGGTTGAAAACCAGGCCTCCAGGAATTCTCGGGCTTGTCTTCATTTTGCTTGTTCTAGTACTGTTAGCTTGTTCCAGTTAAACTGATGTCCTTCTATGTCGGAGTGTATTGAAATGAGGAAGTGTTGGTCATGCCGTTTTGCTGTGAGTTGGTGTTCATGTATCCTGGTGGTGAGTTTCCTGCCCGTCTATCCTGTGTAGTGTTTCTCACAGTTGCTGCATGGTATTTTGTATATCACATTTGTCCTGCTCATGGTGGGTATAGGATTTTTCATCTTTGAGAGTAACTGGCAAAGTGTGGCTGTTGGTTTGTGCGCTATCATTATTCTAAGAGGTCGTAGGAGCCCTGTAGTCAGTTTCGATGTGTTTCTAACATAGGGCAGGGTTGCCAGTGTATTGGGGCGTACAGTGTTTTCTTGGTGTTGTTTATTTGCCAGGCATTGGCAGGCGAAGCTGTTGGGATACCCATTGTTTGTAAAGATTTCGTACAGGTGTTTCTCTTCATTTTTGTGCAGCTCAGGGGTGTTGCAGTGTGTTATTGCTTGTTTATGCTGATATTTGATAACCAAGAAGACAGTATTATTTAAAAAATGACTGATATCTGCAATTCTTTCCTATTCTCTCCTAAATGGAATATCTCCCATCCACATGGTGTCTTGTCAAAAAATTAGAATAATTGTGTTTTTCCCTCCATCCCCGAGGTAGCCATGAACTGCACAGTAGAGATTCAAATTTAAGGCTCATTTAAGCATGCTATTATGAAGTTTCACAAACATCAGCAATTTAAAAATTTCCAACATCATCTGGCTAGATTTGACAACCATAGACATCATGGAAAATGTTGCTTTTAAGCGTGTGGGAGCACGACTGCAGATCAATCCAGATATAACTGTGTAATATAGCAGGTTACATACAACCCAACATCACCAGGCAAGGTGCACACGTTGTCTTAATGCAGCAATTCTAAAGGGGCTGCACAGTACAACAAACAGGCTGCACTCAAAGGAAAATTTTAAAAAATTTTGATCACAGATCAATGAAGACTTATGTTTAGCAGTGAAGGTAATTGAAAAACTTCAGATATTAGCAATCTGAGACATTAAGACACATTTGAAAATTATTTCTGCAGTTTTTGATAACTGCAATTTTTTAACAAAAAAGATCCCTAAAACAACAAAAGATAAATCACGTGTTTAACTGCTTTCCACATATTAGTTAAGGAATAGTGTCTGGACATTATCAGAATTCCCTATTCTAACTGGACAGTGTCATGGGATAGTTTATGTTCATCTGAACACAGAATTTATTTAACATCTCATTTTAAGGATGGCATCTCTGACAATGAAGCATTCAGTCACCATTTGTAATGAACTCTCATCCTAAGTTACAAAGTGGGATTAAGGTTAGCTGATTCAGAAAATGTGATTATTGCTGTGCTGTTCTAACTTTGGGGATTGGGTTGTAACACAGTAGAAGAACTCTTTTTCATTTGGCTAACATTGAATGCCAAAGTGAAAATATTCCATTTTATTTTGCATCAGTATTCCACACCTTAATAATAAATCTATATGAATTTAATCATTTCAATTTCGACAGAAAACATCTAGATTCTAGGCAAGTAAAACCTCTCAAAGTTGTTATCAGACATCTGGTTTTAGTAAAATACCTAAATGATGCAGTCTACATATGCAATCTGTTGCTTCTAATTTACAAGCAAATAGAATATTGTCAAAAATGAAATCAGATCAACAAAATGTGATGATGTCACAAAAGATTGAGATTATGAATTCTGTTCAATCCTGATCCTGCTGAAATACTGAATGCTATCAACAGATGGCTAACATTGGAGCAATTAAATAATACAAATATATTCCCTACAGCTTGTCTGCAAGTTAAACTGTAGCACAGTGACCCTCTGAGCTGCGTGAATGTGACTTAAACTGAAAGATGGGGGCGTGGAAAGGTGGAAGTTGGACCAGAATATATTTGCTTTTCATTGCTCAGATAGGATTTTGATGATGTGGCAGCGCAAGAACAAATAAAGTTCACCTTACAAAGGCAGGAGCTTCCAAATGACAGCAAATCTGAGGACTTGAATTTATAGCTTTCCTGGTATAAATAGAGCACTCTCAGTGTTTCAGCTTGTAGGATTACAAGCTGAAACACTGTGCACTGTTGTACGTATTTGTTCCATCAGAAGGTATGCCAGGGCTTGCTCAAAATTATTTATTTACATCAAAATCTTCATCCAATCTCCTTGACTGTGTTCGAATTTTAGACACTGAAGGCTGTTATGAAGGCTGGTCATTCACAATCAGCTAATGTGTAGTTATGAAAACAGCAGGACACAGCCATTGTTATGCTCTTGTAAAGTGCTTCCAGATGACTTCATCAAGATTGGATTTAAAGTGCAAGTACAGGTCAAGTGATTCGGCAGAGAACCTGTTTCAATACATTTCATTGGCCACTTCATTTTCGTATGGTGTCATGACATCACATGTAGCCCATGTTACTTTTTGTCTCCCATCTCCTCTTCGCCTCAAATCTGGATTGTGTGAAAAGAAAATAAAACGTTATATTGTTATTTCATATTTTCTACTTGAAGAATGGCTTGATGATTTTGGCTCATGGTGGACAATCTGACATGACAAGGATATTTCCACACTTGGCATTGTTCACAACTGAGGAAACAAATCAATCTGCCCTGGGTCTCTGCAATCATAATTAGGATAATAGTAGAAATGAGGGGACATAGGATTAACCTAACTTCCAATCGCTCCTCTTCTTCTTCTGTCCCTATGATACAGGATCATAATATATTAACATCTGTGGGAAGGTAGATTTTCAAGTAGAGATAAATGGGTCTGATTTTATTCAGAAAAACAGGAGGCTGGAAGAATATAGCAGGCCATACAGCATCTGAAAGAAAGGAGCAGTGAACGTTTCGGGTATTATCCTTCTTCAGGACTGGATGTGGGGGTAGAGGGAGCTACAGATAAAGTGGGGGGGTGGAAATCGGTGGAGGCAGAATGATGGTGATAGGTGGACACTGGCGGTAGGTGCGACCTAGTTGGTCGACAGGAGGGATGGATCCTGTTGGTGGCTGTAAGAGAGGGTCAGACGGTGGAATGGAAGGGAGGAGGTAGGGCGGGCAGGAGGAGGTGGGGCTGGAAGGGAAGTGGGGGATGGGTGGGAAGGTTATTTGAAATTTGAGAACTCCGGGCTGGAGGGTGCCCAGGCACAAGATGGACATGTTGGAGGGACAGTGGGGCAGGGAATTGAAATGGGCGGTGACAGGGAGGTTAAGTTGGTCGCTACGGGCCAAGCAGAGATGCTCTGCGAAACAGTCACCTAGTCTATCACCTAGTCTATGTTTGGTATCACTGATGTAGAGACGACCACATCGGGAGCAACGGATGCAATAGACTAGATTGGGGGAGATGCAGGTGAAGCTCTGTCTCACTTGGAAGGACTGTTTAGGGCCTTGCATGGAGGTGAGGGACGTGGTGTGTGGGCATGTGTTGCATCTTTTACGGTTACAAGGGAAGGTATCGGGAATGGGTTGGAGTGGTTGGTGGGGAGTGTGGCATGAACTAAGGAGTGGCGAAGGGATTGGTCCTTACGGAAGGCAGTGAGGGGTGGGAAGAGGAAGATGTTCCAGATGGTGGGGTCTAATTGGAGTTGGTGGACGTGTTTGAGCATGATACGTTGGATGCGGAGGCTGGTGGGATGGAAAGTGAGGACAAGGGAGACCCTATATTTATCATGTTTGGAGGCATTGTGGTGGTTAAGAGCTATGGAGCTGGGAATGGAGGAGGCATGGTGGAAGTCTGTCTGGATGACAAAGTGGGGGGGGGCGGTGGGGGGAAGCAGTATTGTTTGAAAGAGGTGGACATCTGGGATGCTTCGGAGCGGAACGTCTCCTCGTCAGAGCAGATGCGATGGAGATAGAGGAATTGAGAAAACGGGATGGAGTTTTTGCAGGATAGTGGGAAGAGGTGTAGTCTAGGTAGCTATGGGAGTCTGTGCGTTTATATTAAATATCGATCCATAAACTGTAGCCAGGGGGAAGTTTTTATTTTAGAGTCAGTAAGTAATTTTGGTACAATGAGTTCAAACATCATTTCAAAGAATGAATGTCACTTAAGTTAAAGAAATGAAGAGTTAAAAGTGGAAAAGTCTTCAATGGGATTGTGTGTCTGTAAAAGATATCGCTGGTAAAATGTTAACATTTTCTTTTACCTGCTAATGTAAAGATCTTTCTAAATTGCCATATTATCTTTGCATTTTTCTTCTGTATAATGAAATGGTGTCTTGTTACAAAGAACATTGTCAGCCTTGTGTGAATAAGTTCAGCGACTGACCATCATGGTAATGAAGCTGCAAAAATAAAACCTATAATCTATCAGAGCAGGTTTCACTTCAGATCTATCTTGCCTAATATTATCATCTGTCGGGATCATAACATTATCTCGCAAAAAATTTACGATCTCTGCTTAGCAAAGCAATGTCAGTTAACATTTGGAAGGCTTCATTTGGGAATTATTGTAACACATCATCTCACCATCAATGGCACTGCATGTTAGGTACAGCAATATGTTGCACCAGCATACAATGGATGTTCATGTGCAATTGAAAATTTAATCAGGTTGTGTTTTAGTATCATGATTAATATGTTTTCTGGAAATGTATTAATAGCATTACAAATTGTGTTTACATTGGAATTAATACTGCCATTGATCTTGTTGCAGTCCCACTGATTCCATACCCATGATGTTCAACTGTTAGAATGTCACACTTCAATGTTTTTGACCAGCATCAAACAGTACCATTTCCTTAACTTGCAGTTAACAACACAGGAATAGTGCAAATGGGAAGAAAGTGGTTTCATTGTGAATCATGTGTCAGGAATTGGCAGAAATTCTTGACGGGAACAGCTTCAGCAGAGATAGGGATCGCAAAATTAATGATTAAAGAGATGGCTAGCCTAGCCACGAATTAATTAAAAAAGCAATTGGTACACTCACAGATAAAAAAATTACCCAGGAACTGTATCAGAGATAGTAGGAACTGCAGATGCTGGACAATCTGAGATAACAAGGTGTAGAGCTGGAGGTCTAGGCCCGAAACGTCAGCCTTCCTGCTCCTCTGATGCTGCTTGGCCTGCTGTGTTCATCCAGCTCTACGCCTTGTTAACCCAGGAACTGTAGTTTTCTCACCTATCTGCTGCCTACAGGGTGTATAGGGAATTTTCCAACATGTTGAATGGCTGACTACCGAGCTGACAATTAACCAAACTCATAACATTTTATTAAGCAAATGATAACATTAGTCTTCACAGGGATTTGAATCTGTTCCAAGTGATGCACTAAGTAAACATCTTAAGGGGGTTACCAAAATTTGTTAAAACAAAAGCGATCAATAAGACATAACATTTAAGTGCTGAAATAACTTTGATTTATCTAATTCTGAAACAAATCAAATCATATTTGCCACATTATTAGATTTGACTCAAATGTTCCTGTTAAAATAACAGCTTAGCTAATGGTGGTTACTGTTAGTTGTATGCTGTTATTATTTGGAAGTGCTGTCTGAGGGGCCTTGGGGAGTTACTGCAGTGCAACATGTAGATGATACACACTGTTGCCACGATATGTTGGTGACGAAGGGAGTGAATTTTGAAGGTGATGAATGGAGTGCCAATCAAGCTTTGTCTTGGATATTGTCAAGCTTCTTGAGTGTTGTTAAGACCTGCACTCATCTAGGGGAATTCTGATGTAAGGTATGAGACTTATAAATCTCTTAATATCATTTATTTCAGAGTTTGAACTACCAACATGTAGTCTGTGTGTATGGAGGGGGGGTTGGTTTGATTAACTTTTCCCTATTTCTGTAGTCATGCTTTTTTTTAAACCAGTATGACAGAGGGAGTACTGGGGTGACAGTGGTGATTTATTTGCATTGGCAGCATTTTATGAACAGACAGAGTAAACATTAAAGAGCATTAGCTTGCCTTCAGTTTAACAGTATCAGGATTTCTTTTTGATTACGGGGAAAATCTAAAACCTATAAAACTTCTGTTTTCAGTTCACAGAAGTCCTGGTTGAAATTAGATTTATGAAACAGCTTGTCCTAGAGAATAGACTTTGTTAGGAAATAGGTTATCACAGTGTAAGGATTATAGTTTGAAGTTTTCAGTATCTCAAAAGCATACCTTCATCTGTCTCATGCTGTCAATAACTGACATGCTTTTGAGATACAGTTCAATAGGCAGTATCTCATCCTATTGCTCATGAATCATATAAAAGCCTGGACAACAAGTGGGAACATAAGACTTTGGAACTGGATTAGGTCACTTGGCCCATTGAGCCTGCTTCCCATTCAATAAGATCATTGCTGATCTAGTTGTGGTCTCAGCTCCACTTTCCTGTCTGTCCCCCATAAAACTTATTCCATTGTTGATCAAAAATCTATCCAACAATACTCTGAATACATTTAATGACACAGCATTCACCACTTTCTGGTGAAGAGAAATCCACAGACTAAGAATGATGAAAGAGAACAAAAAAGTTCTCTTCATTCTCTGACTTAAAATGAAGGTCTCTTATCTTAAACTATATCTCCTAGTTCTAGCCACCCCTACGAGAGGAATCATAATTGCAGTATTCATCCGATCAAGTACCATCAGAATCTTGCTTGTTTTAATAAGATCACCTCTCACTTTTCCAAACTCCCCCTACTGGGTACAAATCCAGCCAGTTAAACCTTTCCTCATAGAATTATCACCTCAAACCTCAAACTGAGCGAACCTTCTATGAAATGCTTCTAATGTAATTCTATTCTTTTTCAAATTAGGCGACGAAAAGTGTACTCCAGTAAAACATTTCTACTTTTATATTCCATTACCCTTTCAAACAAACACCAGCATTTCATTTGTCATCCTGATTACTTGCTGTACCTGAAAACTAACATTTTCTGATTTAAGTGTCAACACATGCAGATCACTCTGTACTTCAGAGCTCTTATCTCTCATCATTTAAATAACATATTGTTTTTCTATTCTTCTTGCCAAAGTGGATAAGTTCATATTTTCTAGTTATATCTTGAATTCAGAATTCAAGGTATATAGTCCTATATGTCCGTAATACAATCCATTGTCGAAGTGTTTGATGAAGGCCTGGTATAGAGCATTGAAATGGCTATTGTATGGCAAATTACAATTCTTTGATTTTCTTTTCTAATTTATCCCCTGTGTCTGCCTATCAGTGTGAATGGGGGTTTATGACCATAGAGGAATGGGTTAAGATCATAGATATTAACTGTATTGTCCTTTTTAAAGAAAAATGTTCTGCTAAAGCTTATATTATTAATAATAAATTGTTTTTCTTAAGTTATAAAACTGGTGTCCAAGATCAATTATTCGTAAAGTCTGGTTAGCAACAACTGAGCAATTTGAGGGTCATTGAATGTTTCAGTTTCACTGTGTTGTGAACCCAGTGATAGTGAGGCTGATTTGGTTTGGCATGTCATATCAATATATTGGCATTGGAGGTTCACTAGGCTGATTCTTGGGATGAAGGAGTTGACTTATCAAAATCAGTGAAACAGATTAGGCCTTTATTTATTACAGTTTAGAAAAGTGACAGGTAATCTTATTGAAACATCCAACATTCTGAGAAGCTTGGCAGGGTAGATGTTGTGATATATTTTCACTAGTGGCAGAGATCTCAAACTAGAATCAGAAAGCTAGAAACTATTTACACCCTTGCTCAAGTGTAAAATTGAAATGTCAACTTTCCTGCTCCTCTGATGCCGCCTGACCTGCTATGTTACTCCAGCTCCACACTGTATTGACTCTGACTCCAGCATCTGCAGTTTCTGTTATCTCTGAGTGACTGAAAACCCTACTGCAAAACTTCTTCCAAGGATACCCACCTTGAAGAAGTTGTCCTCCTCCCTCTGAAAGGAAGTCAATGGAACTGTCTCCCACTGCAACTCACTGGTGATCTTCTCCGCCCCGAAGCACTTCAACCACATACTGAAACAAACCCGTTACTACAGCCACATTTCCTTCCTCAGTACCTGTCCCTGCAGTTGACTTATACCCCATAGACTCCAAACAATGTTCAGATCATCCCAATTTGGACCAAACCGCGACAACCAGAGCCTCCAGAAATGGTTTTCTCTGCTGATCCTCAGCTCCACGCTCACAGCCATGCGCCAGCATCTTCTCTCACTACAGTCAGCCCTATCCCAGCTCAGAGCCTCTCTTTCCTAGGTCTGCAAAGGACCTCTACTGTTTTTCATTCTACGTTGCATCCAAACCCTCAACCAACACTTTTCCTCTGCCCTATCGGATATCAAGGATCATAAGTACACCAAACTTGCTCATGCAACCTCCAAACACAGACCTCCTCCACTACCCTAAACCCCAACCCTATTCATGACCTCATCCTTAATTCACCTGGTGCCATGGTTGCCTTGGCCACTCCTGCTGACGCCGCTGATGTCACTTCCTCTGACGTTGCTGACAACACCGCTTCCGCCAACGCCACCACGTCACTTCTGCTAATGCCGTTGACCACATCACTACTTTCACTTCTGCCCACGTGACCGTTTCCACACACACACCCACTCCTGAGACAGTCTCCACCTCACTCCCAGCTCCAGCTCTACATCACTATCACCCCAGACCTCCCCTTCACTGAGGATGAACTGTCAGTCCTCAGCAAAGGACTCACATTCATTCCCCTGTGCCCACACATTAATGAAATAAGAGTCCTGATGAAGGGTGTAAACCCGAAATGTCGACTTTCCTACTCCTCTGACACTGCCTGACCTGCTGTGTTCCTTTAGCTCCACGCTGTATAGACTCCGGCTCCAGCATCTGCTGTTCTTACTATCTCTCAGTCATGATCTTGTTGAATGGCAGGGTAGGGATGGGGGCTGAATGACTTACTCCTGCCCCTATTTTTTATGTTCTTACGAATCAAGGTGTTCTGGAAAATTAAAGCCAATGCATCAGCTATCTCATTAGTTACTTTGTTTAAAACCCTAGGATGATATCCATTAGGACCTGGGCACCTGTCAACCCACAGCACTATCAATTTACTCAGTACGACATCTCTGGAGATTGTGATTTTCCAGAGTTTCATCCTCTCTTCCATTTCCTGATTTATTGCTGCTTCTGGTCTGTTATTTGCATCCTGTATAGTGAAGACTAATGCAAAATACATGATCAAATCACATGTTAGTTTCTTATTTTCCATTCTTAATTCTCAAATCCCACATTCTATGAGACCAACACTCACTTTGTTAACTCTTTAAATATTTATCAAAACATTTGCTTCTCTTTGTATTTCTGATGAGCTTTTTCTCATTCTCTAATTTATTCCTCTTTATTAATTTTGTGGTCATTTTTTTTAATATTCTGTCCAGCAATCCAGTTTTCTGTGCTTCCACAACACATATACTTCAGCTGATCAGGAAGGAGGAGATTAAAGTTTTATTTGATTGATCCAAGAGACTGGCATTTCAAACAACCAACAATCTTTGGCTGACAAAGGCAACTCTAATAAATGGAAAATGCAGACAGACACTACAATTGACTAGCTGGACAGAGGGTGTTTCAAATTTAGGTACTGATTTTATCAGTGAAACTGCAAAGTTAAACGTAATTATACAGTCACTTAATAGATTGAAAATCCTCAAAGTAAACTTTTTCCCCTTAAGCTTGTGTATAAATGGTGATTTTATGTCAAAAAGTAACTTATGACAAAACCAGTTCTGTGAAATATTCTATTGCATCGAATCCTGCAAACCTAACTAATCCTGCAAAATATCAAGGAGATTTCCATAGAGAGATGACGGAGGAAAAGGAATAGCTTGAAGCAATGCTGATTTCAGTTCCCAATAGGTGACATCAGAAGTGTTAAATAACAATACTTTCTGAAGTATGGCAAGTACTGCCCACTTCTGCTGTCTCCTGCTCCTTCCCAAATATTCTGAGGTGTGCTGCTCATTTGCTCAAATTCGAAAACAGGTCAGGATACATGAAAGATGCTGGGAGCTGAACTCAGGTTTTGCTTGCTTCTGGTCATATAAAAAGCATATACTTCAACCCACACAAAAATTGCACATCTTACAAATGAATGCTGTATATTTGATCTTCTGAAAGGATGATGGTCTGAAGCAGCTACCACTTTTTCTAAAATGTCTGGTGCAGTCCATTAATCCAAATCTCATATTTAAACTCAAATGCCAGCTGAAAATAATACTTAAAGGTAACCAATGACAGATGAAACATTCTTGTTGTATTGATTATTGTGCAAATTCAACAGAAAGTGTTTGAAGTTAATTGGTAAAGAATGACTCACCCCCAAGCAAGTTGCTTCTTCTTTTGGGCCTGCTGAGAAGCTTCAGTCTCTTGTTTGACTTTTGCAAAATCACGACATTTGATGGCCTTGGCAATTTTCACACCCAGCTATTGAAAGATCAAAGAGAATGAGAAAAGCTAAACACAAAAAGACATATAAAAAATAAAACTAACTCCAAAATTTCACCTGCTTCCAGATTTTCTCATGGGTACATGGCCAATGGTAAAATTTTATCTCGGGGTAAGAAACAGAGGTGGGATCTCTTTCTGGCTGTCTGCCCTGTGGTAAACAGTCAATCATTGTGATTTACACAGGAATTTCTCATTAATTGGTCTGGAGGCAGGTTCCGTGCTCAATTAAGCATGGTCATTGGGCTCTCGAAGCTCTGCTCAATCAGAGGCCATTCAACTCCAAAGGAGCAGCAGACAATGCAGGCAAAGCAAGGGAGAAAGGCATGGCAAGATGAAGGTGCTTTAACTCCAACTTCTTCAAACCTAAATTTAAAAATCGCCTTTGCAGCCAGCTGACCACAATGGGGTGGGTGTGTTAGAGTTTCTGCATCAAGGAGGGCCTTCTAGCCTACCTCCAGGTACCTACACTAGTCTGTCTTTCCCACCTGGTTCACCCAGCTGCCTGTATGAACCTGAATGCCACCTTGAAAGTCCTGCTGCTGCAAACATAATGCAGAGGTAAAGTGAAGCTGTGGAACTGGCAGATTGGCCAGTGCCTCTACTCCCTTCCCCAATGGAAGCTACAAGTTCAGCCCTACAGGCCCATCCACTTTCAAACTGATCCAAAAACAGTTCCAACAAACATTATTTCAGAGATAGATGGAACTGCAGATGCTGGAGAATTTGAGATAACATGGTGCAGAGCTGGATGAACACAGCAGGCCAAGCTGCATCAGAGGAGCAGGAAGGCTGACG